TTGGAGGATTCCTTTGGGAAGCCTGGCTTTGCTCCTTCAGCACTGGGCTAGAACCTGACCAGTTTGCCTAAGCTGTCATTACAAAATATATTTGTCTGTTGCTGCAGCCGGACAGCATGAGGTGTTGTTATTCTGATGTCCCAGCTCTGGCAGATTTGATGGGCACCGAAAATCTTTGGGTTTAAAAAATCATTCGCTTCCCAGCAGTAGTTAACCAATATAATATCCTTGGAGAACTGCAAAGATTTATCTGGAAACAGACCTAAAATGCAGCAAAAAATGTGAGTACTTTAAGTGCTGTAAATTGGTGTAGTTTCTTTCCCTTGCCAGCAAAGGATCTGGCCTGAAAGGTGCCGCAGTAAGAGCTAAAGTGGAGGCTGTGATGATTTCCAGCCGTGTTTACCTTCCCCCGGTGCGCGCTCCTGCTGCGCTCAGAAGTAAAGGCAAACACGTATCCGCAGAAGCTGGAGCTCAGTCATTCCTTGCAAAAAGTAAAAACGAGCAAACCGCTCCTCTTTTCTCTCTTTGCAGCCTCTCAAAGGCTTGTTTTTGTTTTTAGAAATGTGGTTTATCAGACCCTGAGCCATAAATACTGAGGTCCTGTATTGAGTTACAAGCTGACTGGGGTAAACTCAGTGCAAAGGCAGGCGAAGCCCCTGGCTCTGCTCCCTTAAATGACCTTGTCACTCACCTGCCACCCTCCTCTGACAGCAAGAAGTAATTCTGCTAATTCTGCTGCCTGGGAGCTATTGAAGGAGGACAGGCAGCCTTGCTTAGCTTTTCTTTAAGGAAGTACTATCAGTGGGGACGAGTTGTTTCAGATGCTAATGGTGTTCCAGCTGTAATCCTTGTTGTTTATTTATGTTGCATCAGGGATCAGAGGCCCATTCTCCCAAACACTGTATGTTGACAGAGCCTGTAGTCCAAACATAATAGCAACCTACTTGTGTTTGTCTGTGGCTTTTACCATAATGTGAGCGGTCACCAATAGTCACCCTGGGGAGTAGTACCAGTGGTTTCCAAGATCTGCCAGGAACAGCTGCCCATTAATGCATGTGGGAGTATGACAGCCTGGCCTCCGTCAGGCTAACTACCCTTACCCTTGTGTCATTGAAGACGCTGAGTTACCTCTGCATGGCACAAGCCTGATTTCTACACCTAAATAAACAAACTCTTGCTGAAATAGGGATGGCAATCAGATGAGGATGTTGTTTGTGCCAGGAGATCAGGATCAGGCCCAATGGGGAAATGATGATGTAAATTTAGATCCAGAAGATCTTGCCAGACCAAGATATTAAATGGCAGTGCAGGCAGAAGTATGCAAAGACGTGTCTCCACAAGACAGATCACTAATGGAGCCATTCAGACCTGAAGGCAAAGCACCTCTAAGGAATAATAGAGGCACTATACCCACAGCTTTAAAAATGAGGTTGTGCTCTTACAACAGATGCAACGCTGTGTGCTGGCTGCATGTGAGAGTAGGCTCTTGGGCTGCCAGAGAAATGCAGGGGCCAGCCAAACATCAAAATCTCCCCAAAACCCCTGACATTATGGGGAACAGTAAACTTAGAAATCTGATTCTGATACTTTAAACCTACAGTAAGCAGGCCTAGAGCAGGCAAATAGATTCAGGATGCATTTAGAAAGACCATTTTGGCTGGATCTTACTTATCCAAACTGGTTCAACCATTTCTAGCAACAAAGATCGATTTTTTTTTTTTACACCTTTGTTTCAGAGGTGGAAAATATGTAGCTCATAGCACATTAGTCTAGTGGGCTTTGATAAGGTTGCAGTTGGTAGTTCACCACGGGCCACAGATGAGGATGCCTTCATTCTGCTGTGTCAGCTGAGCCAAGGTAGGTCTGGGTAGCCGCAGCAGCACCAGGTGATGCCACTGAGCTCAGCTGCAGTGAAAGAAGGTTAAACCCAATCAGGCTGCTCTGCGTTAGCCTCCAGCTGAGGACAGCGGCTTGGCCTGTTACTGCAGCTCAGCTGGCTCACTGAGGCTGGGTACAGAAATAACTCAAGCCCATGCCTGAGCACCATGGCTCTGTAGCTTCAAACAAAAGCATCTCCAGGTAGAAGGGGAGGGTGGCAGTTCTGCTGTGCTCGAGACCATCACACAGGACGCTGCAGGGAGGAAGACACGTGTTGTGCCTCCTGCCTCGGTCAGACACACCACACAGGTCAGCCCAAGCAAGGTAGAGGGATGCAAGAGTGGATTCAAGCCCAACTAGAACCATCTCTGCTAAGGGTCAGGACAGCCACGGCTGCCCCTGGCTGTCAGGATGGGCCCAAAAGCTCCTGCAGCCCCATGATGTGACCCTCACACCTTCATTGGGGTTGTGCCAGTTTGATGAGCAGAACTGAAAGCTTTCTCTATTTTGGGCCCCGCAATGTTTCTTCCTGCAGGATGAGTCAGTGGTGAGAGCTGCAGCCAGCACTGTTGTTTCTGCACTCTGTGGGACTCCTGTCAAAATATTTAGATTAGTGAGGATCACCAACATGCAGGGGAGGTTCTCCCTTTTCTCTGCAAGTGGGTGGGACCCAGTTAACCCGTACAAAGAATAAGAGGGTGAAACAGGAATGACTCCCACACTCAAAATCTTCTTTTTCCCTCCGTGTACCTCAATGAGGCATGAAACAAAAGGAGGGAGAGGAAGATGTCCAGAAATGGCCTTTATATGTAGATCCCTTGAGGATTTAGAGAGGCACCTGAATAAGCCCTCTGTGCTGGAGTGCAGAGTTGCATTGGTAGTGGTGTCCTGTCAGAGTCCAGGGACTCTAACACCCACCTCAGAAGCACGGTGAGGCTGGACCCGCTGCCTGCTCTGCCTCCTGTGCTGTCAGGGTGCTCACAGTGGGGCTGGGGAGGACGAGAAGAGGCATCTGTGCCACGTGCTCTACTGATGCAGGTTGCCCTTTCATCTCCACTCTGGGCTCCTCCAAAGAGTCATTGTGCATCACCTCCATTAGGAGATTACGTTCAGATCCTGCCCTCTCCATTAACTGCTTAGTTTAGGTCTCTGAGTCACCACTGGGGCCAGGTCCCTACATTTAGGCATTGCAGTGCCTAGATGTGCAGACAAGCCCTCTGACTCCAGCCCGTGGGTTTCACGGATCTGCGGCGCACCAGTTACTAAGTGAGTACCTAGGCCGATGGCCTGTGAAGTGCTGCCCAGCATGCCAGGAGTTGAGCAAGCCAAGCAGCAGCAGAAGCTGCTGGGAAAACAAAGCTGTGTCACGGTTCTTGGCCAGGCGTGGGCTGGAACACAGGTACCAGGTACCAGAGCAACTGGACAAAAGGGTGGGTGGCAGCTGCGTAGGGGAGCTATCAGCGGTTCAATGCCTGTGCTTGGTTCCTTGGGACAGCAAGGCTGAGGCACACCAGCTGTCACTGGAGAAGGTAACCAACAGCAGCTGTGAGAGATCAGGCTGAAAATTAAAAAAAAAAAACAAAAAACCACCAACAAAAAAACACAAGAAAGTTGGGTTTAATTATTTACAGCAACAGAAGGTCTTATTTTGACAGTTTTCATGGCTGTAAAACATATCCTTTGTTGTTAGGCATCATAATGTCAATCTGAATCTGCTGGGCGTCCCTTTATCTTGAACTCTCGCCACTTCTGGGGTGTGCTTGGAGTCGGATGTGGCTGTTCATGCGAAAACTATTACCATTTCTGAAACAAAAAAGCTTAAATCCAAGGTCTTAAGCTACTTAGAGCTGGATTCAAGGTCTTGAGGTTTATTTAAACTCTATATTAGTTTCTTTGTTTAAAAATTATGGATGAAGGAACAAACATGAGTGTCTTGACATGCATAGATACAGCTCTGTTGCCATTTGAGGAGCTACCATTTCCTCCAGGTCAGGAGGAGCTCAGGTCACGTCGTCGTGGGCAAGCACGCAGCAGTGAGGACTGCTAGAGCTGGGCAATCTCCTGGCATGAGGAGTTTTTGCTCACTGGTGGGCTTATAAAAAGCAAACCTATTCCTCCTTGGCTGTCATCTTTTTAAAAGAGGCAAGCTTTTCCATATCCTCCCACGAAATAAGCCCTTGGCTCTTGAACACTGGTGGCCAGAGTGGCCCTTGGCATCTGGATGCCATCCTGCTAGGGCAACGTACTGTTCATGACATTAACAATCCCCCATTGCTGCTAGAAATACCACAGTATTTTGGACTGACTTTGCCTTTTTTGAGTCCATGCTGTGGTGATCGTTCACAGTCATTCTGTGATTGCTGAGCGTGCCCTGATGTTTCCCTTTCCTCACATTCCCAGCTCTCAACCACCACTTTTTAGAAGAGAGTCTGACCGTAATTCTTAAAGCTCATGACCTTGAACTTTCTTCTGTGAAAAGCAAAAAATCAGAAGTGAAACTGAGCAGTGTCGTGTTGTTCTCCTAGCTGAGTGACACTTCAAAGAACAGCTTTGCATGTTGCTCGAGAGATCTCCAGATAGGGTGGAAAAAATTACTCCACGAAGTCCCTTTATACTTTGTGGTGGAGAACCTGCCCTTGCAGAAAACCAGTGACAGACAAACTTATTCACTTAATTTTCTGCAATTAGAGGAAGAAATAAATTTTTAAAAGCCCAATAAACAGGGATGTCTATTGGCATTCAATTCTTTTCAAACCTGTATCTCTTTAATCTTATGGGGATTTCCTTTACCTATTTTTCTTTTGAGCTGTGGTAACCAGAATAAGTAGATAAAAACCTACCTTTCTTGCAGCAGCTTTCTTCCCTTTTTAAAACACCAGCTATATCAGTTATTTCTGTGTGATGGAAAGAAGTTGGTTCATTAAGGTTACATGCAGATTTTGGCTGATAACATTCTCTCCCTGGTGAAGGATTTCCAAAGGGTTTTCTGGTCAGTCTAATCAAGAGGCAGAGCTGAACAAAAGCACAAGATAGTTGAGTTTCTTTCTTTCATTTCCTAGATTTTGATGATCACAATTTCCTTTTACAGGAAAGTAAAAAAAAATAATCCAACATACCCAAAAATGGCTACAACAGCAGCAAATACTCAAAGACAGACAATAGGCTGTGAGGAATACAGTCTGTACAGCAGCTTGAGTGAAGATGAGCTTATAAAGATGGCCATCCAGCAGAGCCTGCAAGAGGACCCTGTGGGCCAGGCAGCTGCCCACCAGAAGTCGATGGTGGCAGGTCCGGGCGAGGAGCGCCAGCAGCCACAACCCGCCCTACCGCCTCTACCCTTGGCAAAGGTGAGTAAATGCCTGCCTGAGCCACGCCAGCCCAACAAACACCCAGCCCGGGAGGAGAAAAACAGCTTCCCCAGATAAAACACGTGCTTTCTAATTAGCTTTACTAAGCGGCTGCTCTGCGAGTCTGTCATTAATTTGAAAGCTGGAGTCTGCTATAAATCTGATGAGGTCAACAATTTACACCCTTACGGTGAAATGAGAATTTGCTTGATGCTCTCTGTTTTAAGCAGCAAGTAAAATAAGGGGCACTGCTACAAGCTTTCTTGAACAACAGAAGCCCTGCCAAAGCCAGTGGCTCCTTTACCCCACAGCGGAACAGCGTACATCTAGGTTTTGCCAGAGAAGGAGCACAGCATTTGTTATAGGAAAACATAGGAAAGAGAACAAAAATAGGTATGGAAAACAGTGTGAGGTTGCTACCTTTTAGATACTGCAATCTTTAAAGGATGTAGGTATTTCAGATCAGAATCTGGCCCCAAAACCACCGCTCTCAGCCAAGAGCTGCTCCAGACACCGAAGCGTGGCAGTGTCCCCCTCCCCTGTGATGCTGAGCTGTGGGTTACAGAGACCCGCTCAGTTTCAAACCCAGGCATTGTTCTCCTTTCATTTTTTTAAAAGGCAGGTTTCTAAAGGGAGGGGGAAGGCAGATTTACAAAGCTTACAAAGTCACCTCATAACCAAGGAAAAATATCCCTTTAAACTAAATTTTTTAAATAAGCTGGGAGTAACTGAAGTTTTATTCCTCTTCCTTTCTCATAATTCCACCAACCTCTGACGCCTCGCTCATTACCACCTGTGACTGTTTGGTTTCCAAGGCTGAGAAACTGGGGACAATGTGGGGAGCAGTAAGCGTGCTTCATAGCTGTGGAATAAGGATGCTGTACAGCAGACAGTCCTGCTCCCACCAAAGGTCCTGGCTTCTCAGTGTCGTTACGGTGCTCTTGTACTGTCAGCTCTGCAGTGGGGACCCAGTGTGTGGGAGAATCAGTGCTTCCCTGGCTGTATGGTTCTGTCCTCCTTGGGGGTCCTTTGACACCTGCTATTTTGGCAAAAGGCGACATCTGCAGTTCTGTGCATTAGCCTGTCCTGCCTTTGCCACCACCCAGCAGCTTTTGACCTCCCACTGGAGGGAAAACCTTTGCAGCTTGTAGCTCCAGATCTGTAGCGTTGCTGAACTCTTCTCCACCTGGGAGACCTGAGCTGGAAACGCACCTGGCAGCTGGGGGCCCTGGGTCCTCCTCCACCTCTGCCTCCAACCTGCTTGCATGGCACCTCAGAGGTGATGAGTGTCATCTCACCCCCTGCCTGCTTCCTGTGCGGTGGCGGTAGGGTTAACCTCACTGTTGTCTTATATGGTCATTTGAATCCCCTGACGCTTCCTCAGAGGGCCAAAAATAATCTCCAGCCGAGCGAGCAGCTGAATCCAGCGCAGAGCAAGCCGTGGCCATCTGCTTTCATTCAAAGCCCTGACCGGCAGGCTTTCTTGCTCTGTCTCCGTGGATGTGTGTCTCTGTTTCTGCCTCAACATGACCTGTTTCTCCTATTCGGAGTATTTCTCTTTATTTCATTCATGTCATCACCACTCCAGATTGGCGGCCCAGCCCAGAGGTCATGCTCAGACGTCCAGCTTGGGGGCAGCCTCGGGGGTCAGGCGAAGGTACGACGGCAGCCTGTTCAGCACATCCCAGCCCGTGTAAGTGCCTTCCTCTCTCTCTCCCGCTTTCCCCTGTGGCTAAAACAAGCCTTGCTACCCACTCTCTCCCTGACACAGCTCTTCTGGGTGGCAGTGATGTCTGGTGGGGGGAAATGGTGATGTTCACCTGGAGAAGGTCTTGCTGATACCTGCACCGCACCCTCACTGCCTTCCTGCTCTTCCTTCCGACCTCCCAGCTGGCCTGGACCATGCCCAGGGTCTTGCAGGTGACCCACCTCACATCTACCTTGTTTTCTTCCCCCCCTTCATCCCTCTCCATCCCTCGTGTTTCAGGGACTCCGAGTCATTCCGTAGCTCTGAGGTGACAAGGACAGCAGGGATGCTCGCTCTGTGGTTTATTCATATAGGCTGGCTCCTGTATCAACATGGTAGAGGAGGCGCTGCATTGGTATTAAGTTCACAGTTACAGTGGGGAAAACATTTTATTGCAGTATATAAACAGGGTGAGAAAGTCCAGTCCCTCAAACTAAATCTTTCATAAATGTTCCCAAGATGCTGTGCCAGTTCCCAGCAATACCTGCACCCATTTAGGGGGCTGGGGAGTCCTTCCACATCTTACCTGGTCAAGGAGGAAGGCAGCTTGACTGACTTTGATCCTTCTGGCCACGTGTTGTTGTTGGCAGGGGCTGTAAATAAGCTTAGGTGAACACAGCCATGGATGAGGAAAGCAGACAGGGAAGGGGGTAGCCTGAGCTCTGCCCCAATACCTGTCTGTAATGGAGGTGTCTGGACCACGATGGTTTTATTATAGATCTCTGTGGGGAGGAGTACATGCATGCACCTGCCTTTAGCTATCCGATGAAGAGAGGGAAAGTGTTGTAGGAGCACCTATCTGTGTCCTGTGCAAAACTCTTCCCTGCCTTTTTTATCTACCTACTTCAAATCCCCTTTGTTTTATCTATCTTACCCGGATACACTATTGCATTGACTCCCCCTCCACCACTCTTCTTCTTTTCATCCCTCACCCAGCTTCACAATCTCCCCCACCTCATCCTGCACCCTGGTTGATCCAGGCTCTGTCCTCGGCTCTCCGCTGACATTGCCCTCCCTGACGTACCTGAAAACCTCTTTGTGCTGAAACATGAGGTTTCCCTCAACCCCGTCATCTGCCAGCTCCCCTTGGCCACACTGAAGTCTCTTATTAAGTGCTCTTCACACATGGCATGCCTCTCTCCTCCTCTGGGTGTGATGACTGTAGGACAGGCTTTTCTTTTCTCCATCACATAGTCCAATAGAGTTCAATCCACAACAAAGGCTGGGAGAAACTAGCCCTCCTCTGCTGCCTGGTGAGAGCAAAGATATGGCTGGGAAACCACAGGAGACCATGATGGCATGATTGTTATAGCCCTGGTCTCAGAGCCAGGCAGGGGTGACAGTTGGCTTCACCAGGGGAGATGTTGTTCCTTCATGCTGCCTGCATCTCATCAGGCTACCAGGAGAAGAAGCTTCCTCAACCTTTCCGTGCTTTGCCAAACCTCTTCTGCAGCACTCAGAATTGACGCCACCATACATCTCTTCTGCAATGAGTATTTATTATCTTGGCTATTGGCCTTTGAAAGGCAGTAATTATTTTGATTCACCTATAAGGTTAAGATTTCGTCAGATCTTCAGGCTTCCTCCATAGTTCTAATACTCGTTTTTTCTATATCTAATGAAATCCAAACAGCAGAATGTGTTGGTTTTTTATAACAGCCAACTATGAGCCAGGCAGAAAACAAGGATTTCACATGGAGATTCATTAAACTTTCTGTACTGGTCTGGAATTTGCTTGGCTAAAGCATCCACAGCCTGGTCCAGCAAACCCCCTCATCTTACTTAGGAATCATTTAAGGTCAAGGAGCCCAACAGAAGTTTGCTTCATTCAACATCTGAGGGCTCAAGCAGAACAGTAACTGATTCTTCACACATTTTTACCCCTGCCACAGACCCGAGGTACCCTCTGCTTTCACTGAGGTCTCCGCTAACATGATTCACCTCGCATTTGCTGTGTGCCGGCCAGAGGCGCAGACTGCCTCCATGGCCCACCTGGCATGCAGTAACTCATTAAAGGCTGGTAACTCTATCCTGTGCCCAAATCCCGAGGTTGCAGTGAGCAGCCCTGCATGCGTAACACGAACCTTTGCACAGAGCAACAGATGGCTTCAGCAGCCTTGCGCCAGAGGCTTTTAAAGATGAGGGTCCTCCTTCTCCTCTTCCAGCCCAACATGCCAATTGTTGCTGTTAGCCATCTTCAATAAAATGCTCAATTTCACATGCCTGTATAAAAACCTATTCCCTAACAAAACTAGCAATCTTATTGTAGTCCCCAGGGTACTGTAAATGGTATGGAGATACAGCAGTGTCCTCAGCCCAGCAGTTAACAGAAGGTCAGTCAATTCCTCCTGGCTGGGCTGCAGCCAGGAGGGCAGCTGCCTGCTCTAGCTGTTATCTCCTCAGGCAAAACGCCTGGCTTTGTCCCCCGTATCTCCCCCCATTCCAGTCTTGCTATTTTTGTGACTGCTGACTTGAGATCACTGCTTCCAGCTATGGGGAAGGAGCAAGTGGCATGAAGTACTTTTTTACCTTGGAAACGGTGTGTTTTTCTATTCCTTGGCACCTGTGTTGTGTTCACCTGCTTCCGCTCCAGGCCCTGAGTTTATCCTCAGAGAAGCAGCTTGGTGACTTTTCTTTCAGTGCTAATATCAGTGTTTATGGCACAGAGTGGGTACCTCTGGGCAGCCTGAAATGAATGATGCCTGTGTGAGTTTCGGGCTGTTGGTTTGTCCAGCCCCTGCAAGGCAATGAAACCCAGTGCTGCCCCTGTAACCTGCACTAATTGCAGAGGCTGTACCAGTGATCTGCTTGGTGAGGACTCCAGTGCTGAGCTGCCCATTTTTTTCTGTCTCTGATCTCACTCTGCTGAGGCATTTTAGTCTCTGTCATAACCAGAGTTTCTGGTTGTTCCCGTCGTCACTGCCCTGCATGACCTTCATCACATGCTGCTTTCCTACCCTGGCGATGCTAACAGTCACTCTGAGACAGGCACCTCCCTCCTCAGTCTCTCTGCCTTCAGGGCTGCAAGATTTTATCTTTGGAGTTAGTTCAAACCACAAGGTGTCCTATGTTTTCAACATCCTCTTGTTCTCTGTCTCTGAAAACATAACCCACATTCATTTATTGCAAGTCCCCATTGGAAGTGGAAAAATGCTTCCTCCTTTGCGGTGTTTGCTGTCCTGGACCTTAGCCATTCGGTGCTGCCTTCTCCCAGCACAGCTCAGCAGGAGCAGGTGCCAGCGCTGGAAGGCGCAGCACACCAACCTGCACAGGGCTGCTGCCCGCCTTGGGCAAGGGTCCTGCCTGCACGGACTGCAGGGTGCCAGCTCCCTGCTTCCACCACGATGCCGGCAGGCTCAGCCGGGTGGAAGGGAGACAAGCCCTGCTTCAGGCACTGCTGACCCCTGGTAGGGTGACTGGTAGGCAGCGTCGTGACTCCAGCAGAGCAGAGAGTCCTGCAGCAGCTCTTGGCAGTTGCTCTGCAGAAGGACTGGTGTGCTCTGCCATTGCTCTTACGGAGCTCGGAGAAGTGGGTTGCTGCCTGGACTGTGCAGAAGGCATGCTTGGCGAGGGGAAGGCTTGTCAGAGCAAAGCTTGCTTGAGGCTGCCTATTGTGTCTCACTTCTGGGTGCCATTGAGCACACTTCACGTTTATTTGTAGATTTTCACAGTGAGCCTCTTGAAAGCTTCAGAATTAGGTAGCATTAAAAAAAGATTACTTTTGTGTTATTTTTCTTTTCACTGCTAGACACTGAAATATTACTTTAAGACTTTTCAATCACTCTACACATTTCAATGACTTTCTACTGCAAAAAGGCTTTCAAATATTCCCTCCCTTCCAAATGTTTTTTTCATTCCTTTCAATCCCTGTGCCTAGAAGTTACTTGATCCTGTGGAGCCTGGCAGTGGTTTGCTGGGTTCAAATGGACCATAACATGAAACACTTCACAGTTTGGCACCAGGTCCCAGCTGGGGTTCCAGATGCCCCTGACTGTTGCACTTACTTGGGAAACTGCTAACTTGGCTTAGAGGTTTGCAAGAGTGGACCTGTTGACAAGGCATTACGTGGGTCTGCTCCCACGTAGGCTGCTAAAGACATGATTTTCAGAAGTGTCCAGCACCTAATATGTCTCACTGGGACACCAAAGACACATTTTTGAAGATCTATAATGCCCAAAGTGGTTATAATTTCTGAAAATTTGAGTACTCAATGCTCAAACAGCAGCTGGGGATCGCTGGGGCATTGTTATGAAGGGCAGCACAGAATTTAATTTGGGTGGAGGGATTATTTTTTTTTTAATCTTCCCTGGATGAAGAAAAGAGAGCCCAGGCCACCAGTATAATGTTCACATGCTCTAACCAGAACCTTCCCTTCTTCATAATTGGCCCAGCTAACTTCAGAAAACAGATGGAAGGAAGAGAAATAGGCAGTATCTTTAAAATACAAGAACAAGATTTATGGAGAATTTCTGCTTTAGGGCTAAGCCATCTGCAAATCAAAGTTAAAATTTTCTTTAGGGATGAAAAGGGTCAATTCTCTTCAAAGCTGATCCTTTTTAAGAGATCTCATATGGAAACACCTGGCCACATGGGCGGGCAATGTAATTACCACAACCACGGATGCTCATGGCAGTGTACAGAGCATGGGTAGAGCTAGTATCCCCCAACTCCAGATATCTAAAATATAAATGTTTTTGTCAGAGATTAGTCACACCTCCACTTTACATACACCCCAAGGGCAGAGATCAACACCTCCAGCCAGTGATTCTTCTGCTGTGAATGGTCAAATTAGAGCAGACAAACGTTACCTCCACAGGCCCTGTAGCAAGGCACCTTAGGGGCACAAATACTTATTATATAGGCTGTAGGGCTTCACTATTTGGGCCAAATGATACAGTGATGTTGCTGAAAAAAAATCTTCTCAGCAATGAAGGAAGCAGTAATCAGGTTTTAATCTTGTTTTAAAGAGAACTTGACCCTGTAGTGGCAGCAATCAAAGATGGAGATGAAAAAGCAGTATGCAACATGATGAAATCAGGAAAAAACCTTTCTGAACCTAATAGAGACGGCTGGATCCCCCTCCATGAAGCTGCATACTATGGCCAAGTGGGTTGCCTGAGCCTGTTGCAAAAAGGTCAGTGAAGTTAAAACTAATTCATTACAAAGGGAAGAATAATATGAATAAACTAAAAAGCAAAATTAGCAGCAGCCTAATCCTCACCTGAGACTGTGTGTGAAGGGGTTTTTTAACATCTCTGAGTGAATATTCATTTCACCTTCTCTTTGAGAATAAGTTTCCAGACTGAAGCCTCTAAAAGTTAGTATCTTCAGGATAAAATTATATCTGGGCAGGTCTTACCAAGGCCTGGATTTCTCACAGTAAAGCGTCGTGGCTGAGCTCTCGGCTGTTGTGAGCTGCTCGGCTGCTGCAGCTTCCAGAACTCACCCCAGGCCCCGCTAGCTGGAGTTCCAGCACAGCACCTTTTTGCTGGTGTTTGAAAGTGGCTAACTACTATAGTTTTCAAACTGCTACAGAAGACCAGTTACTTGGCAGCTTTCTGCATCACTAGTGGTAAGAGCTAAACATTTTAATTCAGACTGGTGACTGATTTAGATACTTAATCTGAGTTATAGTAACTTTATAGTATATTCTTAACTTACTTTGCTCATGGAAAAGAAGAAAAAATAAACAACAAAAACTCACCTAAAACTCCAAGGTTTTTGAAAGCTGATGGTGCTGCAGATGCATGTGTACTTACTACATGCCGTAACGTCTTTGGGCTTGCCATTTATTCACAGCGTACCCCGGCACAATTGACCAGCGCACGCTCAATGAGGAGACGGCTCTCTACTTGGCCACCAGCCGGGGCAACCTGGACTGCCTGCTCAGCCTGCTGCAGGCTGGGGCCGAGCCCGACATCTCCAACAAGGCCAGAGAAACTCCGCTCTACAAAGGTGAGTGGCTGTGTTTCCAGGGATGCTGAGCTCTTCTGGCACCACCAAGGCAGAGGTGCAGGCGCTCTTGCGATGTGGGGCTGAAACTCAGCACTCACTGTGCACCTCCTCCCAGTAGCCCTGTATCTGCTATGTCTGACCTGCTTTCTTCTCATCCACATCAGAGACAGGAGTAGTGGCTGCCCTGTGGGCTGCGGGCTGCAATGTGATGCTGTGAGTGGGATGTGTAAACTTACAGAAAGCTGGATAGTACAGGAATAGGCATGCTTTTCTAAACAGTAGTACCTAAGTAGCTGTTAGAACTGGGAGTACACTAACTGTAGACATGCCAGTGATTCATGTACTGTGTGGGCCAGGCCAGGCTGGGTGCTATGGGAGATGCATCAAGTTCTAAACAATTCAGTGAGGTAGATAAAGCATTTAATATGGACATATAACTTTGCTGCTTGTCAGAGAGAACATTTCCTTTAGTAGTACAACATAACATTCATGATATCAGAAAGATTCAGAGAAAGAGATGATCTCTCACACCTTAGTGTCCCTTCCCCTTTTATTGAGTGCTCCTGCCATGACTATTTTCAGCTCTCTAAAACATTAAAAAAAACATGTTACTGCATTCAGTAGTAATCTTGTCTTCAACTTTGGATGTCTGACATTAGAGCTGCTCAGTTTAAAATGCCTTAGTTTTAAAATTCTAGCTTATAGTCAGCTAAAGGAAAGCTGTTCAACTGTGCATTAAACACACTGTAGTGGTAGTAGTAGGAGTAGTACTCATAGTAATAGTAATAACAATAGCAATAATACAAAAACATCCTTTAGCCAGAGAAAACCTGTTGTTTAGTATGTGCTAGTGTTGATGCAAAAATCTTCTGGTTTATCCTCCAGCAAAAAAGGAGTGAAAAAATTATCATAACAAATTATTAATCCCTAATTTGGAAGCAAATTAAACTCTGGAGAGCTATGCATAGGTAATTACAGCAGTGCCAAATCAGATATCTGCTTTTAGTACACAAGTGACACCTAGGTATGGGAGGGGAATATATGGCGATGTCCAAAAGGAAGAATAAAACCCAGAAGGCAGGATCTCTCAACTAGTGAGAAAAAGAAAATTTTCTATTTCAAAGAAAAAAACAATTGCTATGGGATGTGCTGGCCTGCCTTTTGCCCGTTGTACAACAAATGCTAATTGGGGATTGTAAAAGTGTCTGCTGCTTCTAGGTACCTTTGGTTTGGCATCCCGTAGTAAAAGTGTGTGGAAAGCCTCATGTTTTGGGATTCAGAAAGGAATGGAACGAACTGGTAGAATAAAAATGAACAAAGTACTATTAATTATCACAAAAATACCTTTAGTTCAGCACGGTCCTGAACTATATGTTGTTGCAGGTTGAGAGAGTGCTGCTGACTCACAACATTATTGTTTTCTAAGGATCCTTCTCTGGCCTTTTTCTTGTCTTTATAGAGCTTCATCTGCAGTCCAGGGCAGTAAGATACAGAGTCGGTTTGCACAGAATTTGGAAAGAAAGTGTTCAGGTCGTGTGATTTCTGTAACACGTTTGTTCTTCATAAATTATCTCCTGCACCTCATCGCCTCCTTGTGTCATTGTGGTGTCCAGCTAGTACCAACGTGCTGGGCTGTATTCCCCTCAGCAGCAGGCTTGGCACAAGTGCTGCCCAGGACACCTAGCCTCCCCCAGGTCCCGGCTGAAGATTGGCTTCACTGCCACATCCTTTACGAGCCCCAGACAGTGTCATTTGTCATCAACTTTGGCCCTCATATTGACCTAGATGGATCTTGGGTCTTACTCACTATTGCCTAGTTGTGTTATATTGCCTTATGCTACATGAAATGGATACCACAACACCCAGAATCTTTTCAAAAACCTGTCCCCTTCCCTTTTTTCCAAAACAGCCTGTGAGCGCAAGAACGCAGAGGCCGCAAGACTCCTGATACAGTATAATGCTGACACCAACCATCGTTGCAATCGAGGATGGACTGCTCTCCATGAGGCTGTGTCCCGAAATGACCTGGAGATTATTGATATCCTTGTGAAAGGGGGTGCCAAGATCGAGTCTGCAAATACCTATGGGATCACATCTTTATTTGTGGCAGCTGAGAGTGGACAGTTGGAAGCTTTGAGATACCTGGCAAAATGTGGTGAGTACAATTGTGCTGTTACATGCCTTTACTCATTTCAATCTTAATATTTCAAAGTTCCCATTCATTTTCCCTGGCTCAGTTTTCCTGTCCGTGAAGACAAGGCCTAGCCTGCAGAAGTGCTGGAACCCTGTTGCTGCTGGTGGCTGAATTGTGTAGGGTCTTTCAGAGAGCATTCTGCTGAAAGGAGATAAAGTACTATTGTGTAGTTAGCAGATTTACACCCAGGAGAAGCAGACTCACTCTCCCCAGTGTATATATGTTCAAACATATAAACAGAGTGAATTTGATTCTAGTTTACACTAAACCTACCTTTTACTGCTTTGCTCATGTAAAACAGCTTTATAATAAGCACAACATACCTTACTACTATTTGGAGGCATATTTTATTTTCACTGTGGGCTAATATCTTCAATGTAGGTAAGAACTGGGTCATACACTTGTGAAACAAGAGCTAAACAGCAGTGGAGATAAGCTGTTAGTATGGCCAAGAAAGATGAGAGATGGGGAACAGAAAATGTGTTCTGCTGTCCAGCTAGCATTGTCGAGTCAGTTTAATATGTCCATCACACTGCCTACGGTTTTAGAAACTAAGCCAGAATATGATTCATGTTTCAACTTAGATAGTTATTAGGATTTCCTTAAAGTTCAATTTTGAAAAAAATACACAGGAGAAAATCCAATAAAACTGTCCAATTGTTTCAAGCCCTGAAAAGCTCCCCTGAGAATGCAGGGAATGATATCACTGCACTGTTTACGATGAGCAATATTCATCATAAAAAGTTTCTTTTTAATTTCTTTTACACTAGGAATGTAGTTCTGTGTTATGTTTTGTCACTGCAATTCTCCTCATGTTTCCAGCTACAACATCTTCAAAGGGCCAAACACAACACAGATGTTTCAGTTTGGGGTGAGAGCACAGGGAAATGTTCTCTTTGTCAGGGAGTTTTCATGGTCAAACAGGAGACTGATTGGCTTCTTTATTGGGGTATAGAAGCAAAACTCCAGTGAACTGTCATTCCCATTTTGGATACATACAGACCAGCCTTCCTGAGGAACACTATGATAGACTGTATTATAGTTTGAAGCCCAGGCTTTCAGGCCTTAAATATCTAGCACAGAAAAAGCTAGATTGCAAATTGTTTGTGGCCAAAAGGTATTAGGTCTTGGTTTATTCTTGCATGTTGTTTATGAAGCCAAGTACACACCAGAGCTCAAGAAAAAAAATGTCCCAAATAATCTAGTAGTCCATTAATAATACTTATAATTTTTGTGGTAAAACTTACCATTCGGAGCCTAACTTCAACCCTTGTGAAACAAAGAAATAGGGCCTCAGATACTGAGTTTTGAAATGAAATATTAATTGACTAATGCATGTCCAAATAAAAGCTGCTTAGAATTGTTGCTTGGTGCTATTACAGATGTCATCTTATAGAGTCCTATTTTAGCCTAGATGTGGATGTGTACTAAAATTAAAATATAGTATAAATGGATATATAGTATAAATATATAGACTATAAATAATTTGTTAAATATAAATAAACACATATCATAAATACATAATCATAGCAATTTGGAGAGCACCTCTTGAGATCATCTGTTCTAAACTCCTGCTCAGGATTAGTGTATATACATAGCCTAACATAAATACTAATGGAATTATTGTATCCAAAGAAAAGGCCATGCTATATAAAGAAAAGCACATTTTAAAGTTATTGCCTTTGAGATACAGCTGAATGGAGCCTGGATTCAGGACTGGCAGATGATGGTTGTCACTCATGTTAAACTCTTCCCTCATAAAATTCAGATGATAGTAAAAACCAGTGGAGATCTATGATGGAACTGTATGACTGTATCAACTTTTCATATTGCTCTGATATGACCTCATTCACATCCCCTTCCAGCACATTTTCTAGCTCCAGTGTCATGGAGATGTTTATGTGTTCATTCAAAGCATGGTGCTTCCATCTGATTTTAACAGTTTCATGATACAGAGATATTTTTCCTTCCTAGGTGCTGATATAAATACTCAAGCCAGTGATAATGCCTCTGCTCTTTATGAAGCCTGTAAAAATGGACATGTACCTATTGTGGAATTTCTGTTGTCCCAAGGAGCAGATGCTAACAAAGCCAATAAGGATGGCCTGTTACCACTTCACATAGCAGCCAAAAAAGGAATTTGCCAGTAAGTTTTAGCTAATTTCATAGTTTCATCTTTTAGACAAGAATCCCAAGTTCCTTATGAAAAGGAGACTGTAATGTCCCAGGTGTGATTCTGAGCATTGTGAGCAAAGGAGCTGCCAGTTGAGAACTGGGCTTTCCGCTTGCAGAGCTGGAAATTATAAACTGAAGAGTGTGTTTCCAAGTTGGGATGGCATGGGTTGGGATGGGGTGAGCAGGAACATGGGGTGCAAGATCCCTTCAATTTTGCCAAGATATCACCTATTACTGCTAAATAACCTCATGTATCTGGAAATGGATTAAACTAAGCACAAAATATGCTTGAGATGGAAAATGAAAGCATGTGTGTGTGGTTAGTCCTCGATAGCTACTGCAGCACAGTTTGCAATCATTTTCCTACATGATTCCATTCCGATTCTTCTACACAAGCCGAACATGCTGCATCCATTTCTGGTGCGTTCAGGTTTTATTAACAATTCAGATGCTGACAGCGGGAAGTGGTTAAGTGAATCTCTAGGGCATTAGTGAGATTGCTGCTAGAATATGGTGTCCAGTCCTGGTGTCCTCCCTTTCAGAAACCTTTTAGGAAATTGGAAAGGCTTCAGAAAAGAAGTATAAGAATTACTCACAGTCTGGAAAATATACTTTATTAGTGAGAGATTAAATGATTCTTAAATGAAACAGACAAATGCATAAAATGATCCAGTAGTTTGTTTTTGAACTGAAGTATGTTTGGGAAATAGCTGAGAACATTCTTTATACAGTAAGAAAAGTAACCAATGGAAGAAATAACTGGGAATTGAGTAGATTTACTAGTCCTCTGAAGCAGAGTTGTTTAGAGGAGGAGGAGAAACTACAGCTTTACAGATAAAGAATATCAATTTAGAAGGTGCTGTCTAGGGATGGGATTGTTGTGCTGTCATGTAAATTATGTTTGTCTAGCTCTTTCAAGACCTGGAACATTGCAGCATGCTTCTGAACCTGAACTCCTTAGCATTTACTTTTAGTCCTAGGGCAAGTTTTAACTCCTGCCTTTAAGCCCTTCCTGCTGTAAAGGTGAGTGGCCCACAGCTATTTTTGCAAAACACAGTCTCATCTTGCAGTGACAGACCCTTTTGTTGACTGTAGTGGACTCTTGTGACTATCACAGTTTCTATGAAAATCCTCTCATCAATAAGCAAAGGTGAGAGTATATTCAACTGCAAAGGCTGTTTCTGGATAGTAAAGCTGTCTTTGCAAAAAACAGTTAGAGCAGATTCTTATGTACTTCACAATGTCTGAGGAATGAAAACTTCTGACAGAACTACACCTTCCTGTAGTATCTTTTATCCTAGTGTTTAGGTCTGCTTGGGAATCCCAGTTAAGCTTCTCAGATCACTTTGATAAACCTGAGGATAGTCATCTTCTGTAGTTGGAGTAGGCCTTCTTCTTCATGCAAGATTTGTATTCTAGAGGGCAGCCTGGTGTGAATTTACATAATGGGTTTATATGCTTACAGCACGTACATGAATACACTGCATACACTAATGCAGGCATGATTCAAAATTTTGACCAGGACCTGAGTTAAGAAGACATTTTCTTGAAAACAAACACATTTTAGATGAGAAATGTGCCAGAAACAGGTTTCTCCAGTTGCTCACTTTCAAAAAAGTTCATCTGAAAGTACAGTAAGTTGGTCTGAATCCAATTTGTATATAAAGTCTGGACCAGCTCCCTGAATCTTTTCCTTCCCTCTATAGTTCCGCACCCAGACCTGAAAAGAAGTTCACATGGAAACTGCAACCTGAGTCCACCCCCATGTTATGAAAGAAAGGGCCTAATTCAGACCTCATATCTATTATTCCCAACAACCAGTGGCATAAATGAGACCAGAATTCAGCCCAAACTCTGAGTTCCTTCACTTGTGCACAGAAATTTGTGCTCTTTTACAACTGCTGCAAACTAAGTGCAAAAGAAAGAAAAAAAGAAAAATATCTTTTATAAATATTTATCTAAATTACAAAGCTTTGGCCCAATTGGCTGATCATTCTTAATTCCTTTGGTATTCAGTAAAATAACACCCTTCATGGTGACCTCTCTTTGTATTCCTGCAGATTTAATACGTAATTTTGCAGGAATTCCATGCTTCAACTTGTTTGCCAGAGCACGAAGGCTCCCTACCATCAAAAAGCCAAGAATGTAGTCCCAAGGCTCAACTGTCAACTCTTGTTTCTTGGTGTTTGTTTATTTTAAATGACACCTTGTCATTACTAACCGGCAATTCATAAGGGTTGTCTCATCAGCTGTAGGACAATCACAAGCATTTAACTCTTTCCCCCTCAGAACTGAGATGCTGAGAAAACTTTGTGAAGTGTGGGCAGATTTATTAAGTAAATGCAAGTCAATAAACTTTTGGCACACTCATACTAAGGATGCTCTGCCTCCTCCTCCGTGTAATTTCTAACACACAGAGATCACAGAAGCAGGGCACAGGGATGAGGGGAAGCAGCACTAGTTCAAAACTCTACATGAAGCTCAGCCCTGTGGTGGACATAGGATGTGGTCTGGCTTGTCTAGCCTTGGCTGCCTTCCTTTGAGCTGCCTTCTTCCTCTAGACAGACAAGAAAGACTGCAGAGGTGGAGGTACTATATTACTGAACTAACCTAATTTGGAAGATGAGGAAGAGAAACAGGTTCAAGCTTCCTGTTTTTCCTCCCAGAATAAATCTGGGGTATAGGCAGTGTGCTGAGGTCTGGGTCACTGCGGTGTTGGGAGGCAGAGCCCTGCAGTGAGGTTCATGTCACGCTTGCAGGCAGAAATGACGCGTTGCCTCTTTAACTCAGATGTGAAGGGCTGGCTGAAACACATATGCTGGAGGGAAAGAACAAAACAGACCCTTAAATCTTCAAAACAGTTGATCATGGGATGACTAATGCTGGCACTTGGCATGGTGTCCTCGCAGTGCTCTGTGCCCTTTTTGTTATTATGGCTCTTACAGAACATTTGCTAATGGTGGGAAGTTGCCAGCTTACCAGCACCCAAAACTCCTGCTCCCTGGTGAGTGTCATAGCTCTGCAAATATAGTGAGGCTGCTTGGAGAAAAAAAACCCAAAAAACCCCTGTGCTTCATTTCCCAAGATATTTACATAATTAAAAAAGGCTTTTTGTTTAAAAAGATGTAGAAGTAACCTGGAGACATCAACAGTCCATCATGTAAATAGGAACATAATCCTGTAAAGTGTAACATATCTTCCACTCTTATGTCAGCTCCTGGGAGAGTTGGAGGCTCAGTCTTTCACAGGATCATTCAGTGCATCACAGACAAAGGTTTTCCTAAGACTAGTGCTTATATTTGGCTTAGTTCATTATGTAAATATAAATTTGAGGGCCAGTGTTGGGACCAGCCATTGCAGTCCAGCTGAAGATATGCAGAATTTTAAAGGAGACAAACTGCATGGTGGGAAACTGACCTTTGCATATTTGTGTGTTGGAAGATCACTTCTAGATAGAGGAGTCTGCATGGGAGGAGGAAGAGGATGAAAAGCTCTGCTTAGCTTGGTGGTTCCCACAAGTTTCTTTCTTAGTATCCCTTCCTTCACTGGCATTATACAGGGAGCGTGGGCATCTCCTGAGACAGTAGGCAGATTCAGGTTGGTGGTCCCTAGCCTCTTTCTGGAAATAGCTTATGGTGACTTGTCTGTATTTACAGAATCAACCTAGTGCCTTGGCTAAACCACCCAACTTTATGAGCAAGAAGTAAGGGTTTAACCCATGGAGTTGGTCATGCAGTTCCAATGACACCTACGGAGACATAAAAATCATCACAGATTTGTGACTGCAGGCCTCCTGTACATCATATATTCGAACCTCACAACACATAACTAGAGCAGCTTGATTTATATTGCTGTGTTTATGGCCACATCACACTTTCCAAAAGCAATCCCCGATTACTGGGGTTTAGGACTTGGCTGTACATTTTTTCTCACTGGGCTAAAGCATGGAAACCAGCCTGGAAAATCTTTTTATTTCTTTTTTTCCCTTTTCTTCATTGTCTTTTTGGCTCCCCATGATCTGGAATGGATGTTGATAGCCACATGGATTTGCCACAGCCAAAAGCCACACAGTGAGGGCCACCATGGCGGGGATCAATCCAGGGTAATAACTGGAAACCAAATAAATAGTTTATGCTAGCTCTGTCCTGTAGAGGAAGGTTTGGTTTCACCTCCTTTCTGGCCTCAAGCCTCTTGCTGTGGCTGTGATCCAGGAGGCATACTAATACCTTGTGTTAGCACCTTTCTCTGCTGAGAAATAAAGCAATCCCAATGGAGATAGGGAGACACAGTCTTTCTGCTGGCACCTCAGGCCAGAGGCCATGTGCCTGTTCCTCCAGTCCTACCCACAGTGTGACGATGAAGGTGCAGAATGTCTGGGAGGTCCTGGCTGGGTGTCTGCCATTCTGTCTGTGACTGCTATGGGAGTTACCACATGGTAGGAGAGGTGCCAGCACGTTGACTCTTCCATCGTAACTGCGCCTGTACCTGTTCATAGAAGCTGAGTGATAATTTCAAAAAAACTTGTTCTTCCATGAAAGAGGGGGGTCACGCAACTCACAGTTTTGGCAAGGAGCAGTGGGACCTGTTCACAGGTTTCAATTTCACAACCTGGGTTCTCTCAGAGACAGTTGTTCCTGTGCCCGAGTTAGCAGGCTCTCTTTTATGGTCACATCCCTACTGCTATGGCTGTAAGGTTATAGATCTTCTAGATCCCCTAGAGCTCACTGCTGTTCACTGACTCTCCACTCGGCAGGATTGTCTCCATGCTGATCCCTGTGACTAGCCGCACCCGCGTCAAGCGCAGTGGCATCAGCCCCCTGCATTTAGCAGCCGAACGCAACAACGATGACATCTTGGAAGAGCTGATCGATGCTGGCTATGATGTCAACACTGCCCTCTCTAACGAACGGTCCTGCCTCTACGAGGACAGACGCACTACCCCCCTCTATTTTGCTGTTTATAACAACAACATCTATGCCACAGAGCTCCTGCTGCAAGCCGGAGCCAATCCCAATGTTGACCTCATCAACCCATTACTCATCTCCATCCGCCACGGCTGCCTGAAGACCATGAAGCTGCTCCTTGACCATGGAGCAAACATTGATGCCTATATATCAAGCCATCCTACGGCATTTCCGGCTACCATCATGTTTTCAATGAAGTACCTTTCTGTGCTGAAGTATCTCCTCGATCTGGGCTGTGATGCAGGCTCCTGTTTTGAGTGTCAGTATGGAAACGGCCCACACCCTGCATTAAATTACAGACGAGATAGACTTAATGACCCTCAGGTGTCCAAGGAGCCATCCATAGTACAGGTAAGCATGGCCTAGTCTACCTACAGTACTTCTGAGGATGTCTCCTACCCATGTATCTTGACAACTTTAATGTATTTTGTCTCCCAACTTTCCTGTGAAAGAAGATGTTTTTATTCCTACTTTATTTACAGGAAATAAAAAGGCTCAGTAAGAGCCTGTGAGTGTTCCAAGTCCATGTTCAATGATAGCAGGAGGGTAGGCAACAGCCACTGTGGCCCTAGCTTGAATTTGCAGTGAATTGTAGCCATCTTGACAGCCTTGCTGTCAGATCTACAATATTCTTTTCTTCTGTACCTCAGGTGCCAGGAGCAAAGCATGTTTTCTCAACAGGCAGTGTCATATGGGTGGTAGCATATGGGTGATAGCATATGGGCAGTAGAAACCTGCTTGTTTTATTTGCCCTGTAAGGTTTGTTTTGTCTGATGGGGCGTTAAAGCTCCTGGTTATATTAAAATTGTCTAGTGCTTCACTTGATGAGGGTAAACTAGTGAAAGTAAACAGTTGCAATTTCTGAGCCTACTGGATAAGCAGTCCTGTGGAGGGGCTTCAACTTGCAACTCTACAAGGAAATCTCCGCACAGCAGTCTTTCTATTTTGCAAAGAATCAGGGAAGAAATAAATCAACTTCTATCTAGTTTAAGTGTAGCTATGTGGGATGGAGAAGCAAGTGTCGTTTAGCCCAAAGAGATGGTCACCAATAAATGCTCCTTGGTGGTGGAAAGAATAAAGGAAAACATTAAAAGATCCAGGGAAATTTTGACCTTTTTATCAGTCCTGTTTTCCAAAAGACTTTACTCTCCAGTAACATGCCTGGGAAAAAAACCAAACAGACAGAAATCTTAGCAAGGGGACTGTGAGAGTCCATCAGAATCTCTTGTCTCAAGCAGAGCCGTCTTCTTCTTGAGTGTTTGTCACAGTGAATTGCTCCAAGACACCACATTTTTGCCAAAGAAAAACTAATAAAATATATCATCTCTAGTTCTTGAACCTTCATACAGTAGCATGTAGAGTGAATAGAGGGTTGGAATTCCAAGGCAAGGAGAGAGGGTTTGTCCGTAGCCCTCTCTGGTGTTCTAGTCACTCAAACCCAGTTCTGTTTTTATTTGTTTAAGCACATTATTTCCCTCCAGATCTCACCTAAAACTACTTCTAGTGCCTAACAATATCAGGTCACTTGCAGAGTCATCACCTCAAAGGTTGGACCATATAAGGCAGAGGTAGCAAAAGCTGTGTAAAATTGTATCTGTGTCTAGAGAGTGAGGGACAAATGCATAGAGAGAAAAAGCAATCCCTTCCCTCCCATATTATTTTAAATCTGCTTCCTACTGCCGGGAATTTGGCTAATAAAAGTAAGGCTTGTATGGTGCAGCTTCATGATGTAGTTGTGATATGGTTTGTGTTCTGAAATACAGAAGATTTTAAGAAACTATAGCCTTCTGCACACAACAGATGTGCATTTTTTTATTTTCTTGCATAAGATTACATAAGGATAATAAATATGAATGATTAGTCTTTATACAGTAGAGACTATGAGCTACGGGAAGTGGATTTGAAATACATAACTATAAATCATTATTTTTGCTACTAAATTAGTACGTCCCAGAGAAAGTGACTGCAGAAAAATGGTTGCTGCCTCCCTCCGCCCTTCCAGGATTGCGGTGTCTGAGCCGTGAGCGCGGGAAGCGAGGTGTCCTCCCGCCGCGAGAGGGCACGCGGGGGGCTCCGAGACCTCAGGCAACGCCACTTTGTCCCCGAGTCAATCCCTTTGCCTCTAGTTGCACATTTGCATTATTTTGCTTCATTTTGCTGTGCTGCTTTTCCTGCGCTGCTTTTCCCGCAGCATGTTTTGGAACATTTTTATTCCAGAAAATGTTTTTGTAGGCTGAGCTTGTGGACAGGGAGGAGAGAAAAAGGCAGGCATGGTCTCTGGCAGACACAAGAAGAGGAGGGCAGTAAGATCCAGTGTTTTATTGCCGTACGCATGCATCCTCATTTAAACTGGCAAAGCGGTGTTACTGCTTGGAGGTGGTAGTGCAGATCCCAGGTTTGCACATCCTGTGGGTGACTGCATGGCAGTTGTCTCTACACTGGACAATGACAGCCTGATATACTACACAGAACTTCTATAAGCGGTCCAGGTAGGAAACTGGGTTGTCTGCTGGGATCCTCCCAACATTACTGTACCTAATTTTCCTGGGAAAGGTCGCATGGTGATGCTTAGTGAAAAAAAAAAGTCAGAAGAGTAGTTAACACCTCTGTGAATGCTTGTAATTTTCTGCAGCTTTATTCTTTTTCTAGTTGAGCTAATAAAATTTTATTTCTGCGTAAGAGTATCCACACAAGAGTTTAATGCATTTTGAGTTAGGGTTCATGCATGTATAACAAAATGTGATCATGTTACAGGAGCCTAAACTGAAAGATGTTTAAACTGGTGCATTTTCTTTCCTGTTTGGGGTGGGCTTGGAGGGTGCCTGCAGACAGTGTCAGTGACTAGAATGATGGATGGTGCCTAAGCCACCACCATTCAACTGGGTTCAGCCATGTGCCTGAGTTCTCATCCACACAGCATGATTTAATTCATCTTAAATTTTCTGACTGCTCACATGCAGATAAGGCCACAGGTATCTTTATCATATGCAGTACCCTGACAAAGATGGATGAAGCTGTCTGGTATAACAAAGATATTTAGAGTGAAGTGGAAAGAGAAGTCACTACATTTTTGAAATAAGACTGCTTAAAGTTGGGTCCCTAAGTCTGTTCTTCTGCACCTCTATAAGCAGCACCCCATGCAACAGTTCTGGTTACACTGCAGCTCGCATTGTGGACAACAGATTTGCCTGATCCGGGACTGAGTAAGGAAGATGCTTCTGCTCTGTATTAGGCCCAGGGTAGTTCTCTCATGGGCGAGTAAAACTGCCTGGGATTCATCTCTGCAGAGATTTCCCCAGGCTTGTTTCTAGAGAGGTGTTTGGTCCCCAAAAGCTGGATTCACCAGAAGTAGGAGGTGCTGTTTCCTGTCAAATCTCCCTCTTTACTTTGTGCACATTTACTCTATAAAGCCCCTTCCAAGGAGGGAAAGGGACCCAGCACACTGGCTCACAGTGCCCTGGGCTGCATGGATCCTTTAGCAGCTCCCTTACTGGCTTGGGGCAAAGCTGTGAGCACTCCTGTGCCCTCCCATTTCCATGGAAGTAGGACCTTTGGACTCTGTAAACAATTCAGCATCCTGTCCATGCTCCAGAGCTAGACCCTACCATGGTTTTGTATCCTCTTGCAGTTGTAAAGAGGGGATTCTGCCCTCAGCTAAAAAAAAAAAAAAAAAAAAAAAAAAGGGGTTTATTAAAATTTTTTAAGAGTATAGTTGAAGTTTTCTAAAGGGAAATTGGTAATTGCTGTCACAGCTGGTAGAATGGTGGGACCACCAACGCAGGCTGTTGCTATAGTTCCAGTTTCCACCGGTGCATTCACATCCCACTGACTGTAGTCAATTTGTTTTTCCTTGAAGTTTTGTGAAATGGTGTCTACTCCAGAGATAAGTCGCTGGGCTGGGCCGATCATCGATGTTCTCCTGGATTATGTGGGTAACGTGCAGCTATGTTCCCGGCTCAAGGAGCACATTGACAGCTATGAGGACTGGGCTGTCATTAAAGAAAAAGCAGGTATGGTCACCTAGGAGAGAATTGGGCACAAATAGTCTCACTATTGGATTCAAAACCTCAGTCACCATCTCCTCTGAGTATCCATCCCTTAAACTTGATAGGATTTCCCTACTGAGACTGAATTACATTTCAGATCAGACAGGAGACACTAGAAATTGCTGGGGTTTCACTGGCTCTGTGATGTTAAATGTACAGCGGCTATGGATCTGAGATAGTGGGAATGAGCATTCCCAAGACCCATTTGACTGCAGCTGGGGACCAGTCAGATAAGGACAGGCAGGCAGCATGACCACCTCCACAACAGCCCAGCAGGCACCAGTGGCCTTGGAAGTCTTTACAAATATTTTGCTCTCCTAAGCTTCCTTTCCCTCAGGATCCAAAGTCTGTCATAGACTTTATCAGAATTAGTCTTCTGGCACCAAGCTAAGTTTGGTACATACTAAATCTACTTTAAGTGGGAAGGCTGACTACTGTAAAGCAGCCTGTTTAAATCCTCCTAGAAAGCCCGTTGCTAAGGCCAAGAGGCAATACAGCACTCCAGCCCCCAGCCCCGATTCCTTCCCTATGTCATGCCTAGGAATAGATGAGCTGCCACCAATGCCAGACGCATTGTGCTTCCATTACAAAAAAGCCCCCTTTTTTCACTCCTCCATCTCCCTTTTTCCTGTTGCCACTGACCTGGCCAAGCCGAGCTGTTATTCTCAAGTTTAAACCTTTTCTGCTCATGTTTCTGACCTGCTTGTCTTTCAGAGCCCCCACGACCTCTTTCCCATCTTTGCCGCATCAAGGTACGAAGCCTGGTTGGGAGAAACCGCATTAAACTTCTTGACACCTTGCCTCTCCCAGACAGACTGATCCGATACTTGCAGCATGATTACACACAGTGACCCCTGGCACACCGGACACGCAGCGGCTTGCCGGCACGGCACTCGGCGTCATCGGCGTGGCGAGGGCGCACATTGTGCATGGTGGGAAGGAATTGCTGCTGGCTTGGTCAAGCGCCTTCCAATGACTAATCTAAGAGAAATATGTTTCTGAAACATGAGTGAGAAGAAGATGGAGGAGACATGATAACTAAACGTAGGACTGTTCTTAGGTTTTCCTAAGAAAAAACATATGATTCACCTCAGAGCTTGGTCTGCAACCAACAAGAAATGAAAGCCAACACTGAAAAATGAATAGTGTCAAGCAAGTGTCAGTGAGGAATTCAGAGGTATCCTGGAGTTGTGGTGGAGCTTAGCGTCCTTGCTGTGATCACAATTCAGAAATTGTCAAGAGTCTACATGTCTAGGAAAACAATCGCATTTCCTTCACTGACTGAGATTTTTATTTTAGTTTCTATTCTACTTTTGGGATTTCTGCTAAGTGTGCTGGTTGCTAATTTCTGATAGCTTGACACTGTCTTGCTAACACTTTTGCTCTCATTTTTTGGGCCTTGATTTCAGAATATTCAAAGCTCAGAACTTCTTAATAGACTAAAATCCAGAAATGCTGATTCATTTAAAATTCAAGGGAAGGTTTATTTAAAAAGGTTGTAAGAATTGTATTTGCACATGGTAAATACAGTTCATGTTGTATTACATTTGCAATAAGAAGTAGGTGAGCTTCTGCCTCAGAGAATTTCTCAGACTGGGGATTTGAAAGCAACTCTGAGCTTTATTTTTGTGTGTGTGTGCAAATTAGTAGTAGCTGCACCGTAATCAGTAGCTTTACTCCGTCATGAAGTTGGTGTCAGAACAGAATAAAGCTGTGGACAACCATGAACAGAAAGTGATGTGGAGGAGAGAAGCAAGGTACACAGGGAGAGGCAGCACTACTGAACCAACTTGATCTGTTGCTTCACAAGAAGATCTCGTCCCTACAAAACCCAGCCTCTCTAACCTCCTTGGCCCTCTGCAGCTATACCAATACCATTGCTGGAAGAAAAGAGAGATTATTTCAAAATTATGAAAGTCAGACTTTGAGATTTATGAAAATGAATATCCAGAATTAGGTGTCAAAAATCCTTATTCAGGTGCCTAAACAACGCCAAGATGTTTGCACCAGATGTAGTTCCACTTGAGACAATGGGATCACATTTGGTGTCAAATATTACCAAGGCAGAATAAAAGTCTTTGGATTTAGCCCAGAAATTCCCAATATTTGAAGTTTAAAGCATCTATTAGCTCCCTTTGACACTGATGAAAGTTATTATTTCAGCTTCTTTGAAAATTAGGTCACCTATTTACAGCTGAGATCCACAACTGATTTATGGCAGCTTAACAAGTTACCATCTATCAGCTGAAACGCTATAATTGTCCGTGAAATTCTTTCATTGAAGTTTTTAACAAGTCACATTCCCTCACAGCTGGGGAGGCCGAGGAGCCCATGAAGGGTTATTGGCAGTGACTACAGCTCAGTTGACAGGTGTGACTTGCTGAACCACTGCATCCTTCATGCCTGTCTAGGCACCTAAGTAAGGATGGATGAGTCTAAATTTGGAACTACGTCTCTGCAGGTCTTATGCTAGAAGCACACTCATCCTTACCTTAGATGACAAAGGAGCTGTGCATCATGGTTTGTTTGGATTCCCCACCAGAGACCTCACAGATCTGGTTTAGTTTGTTGGCCTGCATACCATCCATGGCATCAGATAGAAATGTAAGTAGGGAAAAGGCATTGCACTGGGTTTTATTTGTGTGGAGATTTATACCTTAACACAGGGCTAAAAGTGTGTGGCACACATACAAGTCTGCCTGGGTACAGAAGTTCAGATTCTGTGGTGGTTTTGTGTGAATGTGCTCGGCACTTGTGGGACAGCATGTGAGCTGAATTGGTTACAGCTACGGGCACTCTGCTCATTGCTGTCCCCTCCCCAAAGGCAAAAGAAGTTGAAAACCCAACATTTTCAATTCACACTGAACAGTGATCTTCTTGCAAAGCTTTGGAAAATCAGGTGAGATTCCTCCACTGCTGAAATTTCATCCAGTGTCTCCCATTACTATCAGGTTAGGATCTACCCCCTTGTCTCCTGCAGCGTGAACAGGGAATTGCTTCAGGTTGGAAAAATACTGTGGAGCGGGAAAGGGATGGGGAACAGGAAATCTTTAGAAACAGTTTTGCCACTGAAGGCCCTGTATTGGTAAGCAATATCTTGAGAAACAGAAAATCGTCTGTGGAGTTTGTGCGTCTCTCTTTATGGTGCTGAGCACCAAAGGTCTGGGTCTTACTCACCTGGATATAAGTCAGACAAAAATTCCTTAAAATTGAATGTAACAGACTTGTAGAGGATGATAGATACAGACACAGCTTGGTGTAAACTTAAACATTTACTTAAGTGCTTGTCTGGTGTGCTATGACAGCCCTGGAAACCGATGGCTGATGGAAAGATTCAATCACCAACTGCATGTATAACCACAGGGGTGGGATTTCATAAGCTTCCCCAAACTGAGAATTTCCCCTGAGCCAACATCATTACGCATACAGAAGTCTCTCGAGTTTCAATTTCTTTTTATGCCCTTGGGGAAGTTGAAACTGGGTTTGAGTGGAGCAAGTATGGAAAGTCCATTTCTTCTTTCAACCAAGAGACCTTCATCTCTACTGGGAGACCCATGTCCTGGTTGCTGTCAACCACCTGTCCTGAGCAGGAGTCACTGAGCTGGAGAGCATGGGACTGATGGGAATGTGCCGCAACTGCGGGAAGGATAAGGGCACACTGTGCACACAAACTGAGGAGAGTCCATTAGAGGGGGAATCTGGTAATTACAATGTTATTAAGTCCTTTCTGCTTGATCATTACAGCAAATTTTCACATACTCAGTTTACATTTGTTTGCACTGAAATGGAGCCTGCTACCTCCACTCCAGTCGTTGACACAATATTTTGTGCGCAATACTGAATCTGCACAAATTGATTGTGCGTTTAATGCATCTATCCAGAAGTTACTGTGAAAAGACAAATCCCCCAAAACCCCAAAAAATAGGCTTTGTAAGCAGATCAGTAGTTCTAGTGCAAGGTAATGTGGCTTGTTCTTCCTGAGTGTGATAGATAGACTCCTTCAAAGATGACGACTTTATGTGAAATGTTCCAGGAATATTTCATGACCAGGTTACTGTACATTTTTTTACTGCAACATGTGCAATTCACTTGATGTTCTTGTGCACTTTTTTGATTTTTTATTTCGTTTTGTATGAAAGCTTTTTCATTTACCTCTCCCTTCCCATTATTTATAAAAGCTATTGTGGTTTTAACAGTTTGTATTTGCATTGTTGTAGTAAATAGCAGCTCTTGAATGTTATGTTTCCATCTTTCAAAATATGAATAAACAAGTAGATTCTGAAGGGCTATCAGCTGTCCTGAATAGCAACATTGAACAACCAAACACAAAAACAGCCAGGAAAAGTCTGAATCAATCCAAGCTTGAACAATTAATAATTTTGATGTTAATCTCAGAGGTAAGAGAACAGTAAGTATTGCTGAGAGAGGACACAGAGTTTCTATTCTTTGCAAACCTTTTGGAAAGTCTCACACACTACCATTCAGTGATTTTGGATATACTTAACAGTTGTCTTCTGTTCATTTATGTTTTACTTCATTGCTGCTGCAGTTCAGAGCCCCAGCAATGGCCACCACCTGCCCTGGGCTGGGGAGGGATGTTCCATGTCACAAAGGATTTTAAGGGTTTTAAAAAGTAACATCAGTTTAAATCTGAGGGTAAGGACATAAATACCTACATGTTGGAGGTCATTTGGTACAGTCTGGTTCAACCCTTCATGTAACTTAAGAACATGCTATTCTACTACATGGAAAATGTACAGCAATTTGCATTCAAATAAGAAACAGTTTAAAGGAAGAGAAAGAAAACAAAGAATTTAATATCCAAAAGGTAGAAACTTGATTTTAACTCTCTTCTTTCTCTGGATTTCTTCAGACATAAAATTTCTACAGTGGCTATCCACTTTGCCAAGAATTTTAATTTTTACAGAAATCTATATCCAAGTGGTGCAATACACAGCACTTTCAAATTTCCCTTTTGAACTCAAGCAGGAACACTTGTCCACAGCAATCACTGCAATACCTGTTGTTCATTCCACGACCTGCTCTGGTCACCCAGGTGGAAATCCAGGCCGATGTCAAGGAGGCTGCTCTGCACTGACAGCACTGAGACAGAGCTCAGCACCTGACTTCATCTGGATTACAACAGTGACACAGAGCTATTGGTGTGAGAAAGTATCCCTATCTCCATGGAAAAATTCCTTGCCTACAGCTCTGAAAATTAAGAACCATAGTTCTTCTTCCATTAACTTAAATGGGGGTACTGCCTCTGGTTTCTGTTAGAGTCTCTTTGTGGACAGGGACAGATTCTCCTCCTGGATTTTTTTTTTTTTTTCCAAAAAGACAAAAAGGGAAAGACATGTGAATATTTATAGACATCTAAGTGCATTCATATCTTCACTTCTGGATCAAGAGCTAACCTGATGCCTTTAACCCTTAGATCAGCTCTTTACCACCTTGCACCTTGCATGTATGCAGGTATGTGCTACCAAAGCCATTTCCCACTCTCTCTCCTATAGCAGTAGTCTATACAGGCTTGATACATGTATTAAGTGTTGGCATCAGGGAGAAAGCAATGCAAAACATCCCTGTTTCTACTTTTGGTCTGCTGGACTAACACATTAAAGCCATTGTTTCCATAAAAGTAAACATTGGTGGGATATTCTGTGAGGTTTGGGGAAAGAATGAGCTATTTTTAGCCTGAGAGTAGTTCATATCCTAACAAAAGTTGCAACTCGGTTATATAGCACCGAGCCCCATCAGGATATTCAAAATTATACTCTACAATTGCTTAAAATGATAATTTTTTCACAACTGTGGTGTGCTCGAGAGAAGTGTTGCCTCTTTTTCCCCT